ATACCCTGTTATTTTGGCATGTTTCGACCGGTAGACATGTCAATGTTGGAGGAATTTCTGTCGGACAAATTTAAATCGGCATTTGCAACAAAATTTCCAGTTACTTAAGCTAAAAATAAAAGATGTGGTCTTGAGTTTTCAAGACCCCGGGAAATTGCCATGTTTTTGGACTTTTCCGAGTGGAAAAGCGGAGGAATCGAGAAAAGTCGCAGAGGAAAAATGTGGTAGACTCGTCAAAAGGATGCTCCTCAGGAGTTATAAAGTATGTGGTAATCAACTTTCCAGGGGGGGGCCTGTACAGTGGACTATAAGTAAAAGTCAAAGCTTCGCAATAAATAATGATGATATGTATACTAAATTATATGCAGGGTGATTCAGTCATGTTATTAATTTCAAGGGAAGATACTGCAAAGTGAGTAGAATACGAATACCTACGGGATTTAAAAAATTTTAAAATGCATATTTACGCTGAAACAAATATTTTCAAATCATTATTTAAACCCCTTTTCGGACCGCTCCTGACCGCCGACCCACAAAGGTTTATCGAGAGTGAATCTTGACCTACCGTATTATTGGGTCACTAACCTAGTTTTTACCGCATTGTACGCGGGAGCTAATGGCTCCATCTGTCGTGCGGACTCCCAACTGTGCCATTCAAATGGCTACAGTAGGAAGCGACCTGCTAACTGCAGGTACTTTGTTGCACGACTGCCACCCACATAGGGCGTGACACAATGTTTCACTTGTCAGTGCTGCGAGAAACAACTAAGATGGAGCCATTGGCTCCCGCGTACAATGTATTTCCTCTTCGGGATGATACGACGAAGAATAGCTGGGTCGTTTGGCCGTTGTCGCACCTATGACATATGATGACATGACATGATGAGGACTAATAAGTCCGAAACCGGTCTGTGCCTGGTGGGTTAAACTGACAAACGATCCTAGGTGTTGCGAGTATAATTCAATGCCGGTAAGGACAAATAGCTCTCGGAGTAGTTGTTTCTCACAGCACTGACAAGTCAAACACTAGTTTTTACTGCGTTTTTAATACGTAATGAACGACAAGGAGTAAACAGATCTTTTCATGAATGAATAAGATATCTTTTTACATTTTAAACATTAACAAGTATTATTTATTTGTTAATAAAAACAAATGTTATATGAATAATAATTATTTTCGAATGTTAGGTTATTACAATTTAGTATTTTTAATATTGTTAACGTTTTCACAATGTTTTATAATTGAATATGAAATATTAGTTATTATGTTTAATTAATTATTCAGTTTGTAGTATGTATACCTTGTTGCTTTCCAAAGAGTAGTATTTAAAATGCCAGTACGGCTAAAACAACACTCATCGGTCCATAGTACTTTGTTAATAAAGTTGGGATTCTCTGCACTTTGATTTTGAAACCAAATGCAAAATTCAAGACGACTGAGGAAATCAGCTGTTTCGCTTCAACGTTCGAACGCTCTTTGGTCCAGGTGCGTTCCCGGTCAGTAAATGTGATGCAAAGTAGGGCATCGAATCGGCGGGAGTTAAGGGACAATTTACTTATCTTTTAAAAGGTCGAGTAATTTTTTTTTCGTTTTTCTGCCTTTATTAGGCCTTCCGAATATGTGATTAAAATTAATAACATTATGACTGAATCTCTCTGTATAATATATCATATAGGGTGTCCGGAAAAGAATAGGTGATACTTAAAGGACAACTTTCTTGGAAGAAAATAAACCGATTTAGATAAAAATCTCTTCTAGTTCAGGAAAGCCAAATAACAATGAATTACGATTAAAGTAATTGTTTTGAAGGATTCAGAACTACTTAAGGAAGCCAATTCGTTTTCGGACACCCTGTAATATTTTTCTACTGGCAGACGTTACGTCTACACCATTTTTGTAACAATTCGAACGAGAAAATATTTAGCAAAGCCACTCACCTTCTTGGCATTCTCTTGATTGTTGTTATCTGCATGAGGCGCTGAAGGAGCCATGACTGATACGTTTGACTGTGATAATAATTCGTCACTTCCTCTCTGCAACAAAACAAACAATTGATCAAACAATCTACTTTTAAAACAACTCAATAAAAATCCAAATACCAATACGCAGAAGATTTTAATAATATTTGATAATTGTTCAAGGGTTCAATTAAGTGCCTTGTGGTACATCAAATAGTAACAATTTTATTACATATTTCGAATATATTGAACATATAGTTTTATCGACGTTATGCCTTAATGTATAGAATACATAATTAAAGCCTTTTGTGAAAAATTGGGAATAAAAAAGACAGATTTTAAATAAATGTGTCAATTTTTGTAATAGAAGCCTTGTTTAGAACCGCTGATATTATAGTGGCATTCACGATTATCGCATAGGCATAGATCAATGCTGTAGGTGTTACACAGAACACTTGAACTCAGTTTTTGTATGAACTAAGGGAAAGATCTTTTTAAATATCTTCATATGTTTATGGTTTACTAAGAAATGGTTACCTCACAAAATGAGTACAACGAAACCTAATTTGTACAACTTTTTTTTAAAGTTTGTTATAGTTGTATGAATGTTCAATTAACAACATTTCCTTGATATTTGTTCAAATGTTCGCCAAATGAGCTTGGCTTTTGTCGTATTATCAATTTACTTATATACGTTCATTTGGAATATCTCTTGCATATAAAAACGCATTTAACCGAGCATTTAACATATCTATCGTTTTACTATTTGTGTAAACCGTCGTATTTCATTTGAATACACCAATGTTCAGTAAAGTTAATTAAATTTAAAGGCACTTAAAAGAAAAACACTGTCTGTGAAAATAACAAATCGGCACATCAACCAAACGTAAAAACAAAAAAAAAGTTTAGTTGAGCCCAGTATGAATAATTAAAAAGTACTTCAGAGCAAATTTTAGGGTAAAATAAGAAAGATCAAGAAATTTAAAATACAGTTTTCATAAAATTTTAAAATAAACATCAATACTTATATGAGTCGTTTGAAAATGTGCCATCTTATCAATATGTACTATGTGTTCTGTTATACAGGGTGTTCTACAAGCTCTATGACAATCTTTGACAGATAGTAGCTTTTTCTTATATGAATATAGGTCCGTTTCGTTTTTGTTTAGAAGTTACAAGCATTTAAAAAAAAATAATTTCATATTTTAATCAAAGTTGCTTGATAAATAAAAGAATAATTATTATTTCTCCTTGTAGTTTAGACATTAGTTAACCTTTATTAACCAAATTAACCAATCTTACGACCGTAAAAATTGTTCAAAATGTCCACCCTCCGCTCGAATCCAAGCCACACATCGGCGAACTAAAGATTCCTTCACTCGGAATTTGGATAATTTATTATCTGGTTAGCTGCATCCTGAATTCTTTCAAGTAACTATTGACGGGAACTGTTCCGATAAATAAAGTCCAAACGATTTAGATCTGGGAAACGCGGTGGCCATGCTATTGGATGTTGTTGACATATCCATCTATTCGGGAAATTATCATTTAAGCAAGCAGTTACTTGTTTTCCCCTATGTCAGATCTGCATTTAAACGATCATTTAAAATATGTACAGGCAATAAAATATTGTTGAAAATGTTACCCCAAAGATCATCTTCATTTATTTGCATGTGAATTTTGTAACGTTCAAATATGTCCATTATGATTATTATTTATGAGGTCGCTAGTAAAACACCCTTCATCAGATCATATAACAAGCGAAATGAATCATACTTGCTATACGCCGAACACTAATTCAAGAGTTGTCACCATAGACCTAGTAAACTATGAACTGGCCCTAGAAAGAGAGGTCAATCACGCTGATGTGTGCAAGGCAGATGAAGCTAGTTGAGGCAAATACCGGTAAAATAAATGATGGTACACGGGTATACCGGTACAAAATGCTGTAAACAAACTTTGATGTAAATGTCATGTATTGACATTATTGATTGATTTCTTGAATTTTTGTATGAGTTAGTGTATGTGAAAGATTTGTAAAAACTAAATATGGTGAAATCGTGTTCTGAGATAAATTGCGTAAAGAGACGTTTAAGTGGAGAAAAAATTAAATTTCATAGGTAGGAAAGAAGTTATGACGGTACCAACATGTTTATACTTTTTGCAACTTCCTGAAAAGACTGACCATGTAGAGTTGTCTCTGATGACAACATATTAGATTAAATTATTTCCCCCATCGTCAAAATAAAATGTCATTTAACATCAAACCGAATATAAAGAAAAAGTTTTAACTGAAATGTGTTTATAATGTACTCGAGCAAAAATTCTCTTCAAATAATATATTGAACGAAGAATGCATCGACATAGTTTCAATTTATGCAGTTCTGTAAAGCAAGAAAATATGAAATATTTGGATCAACTACGTCTGAAGAGCTTGCAGTAATGTTGACCGGTCGAGTTTACGATATGAGGAAAATAAATGGAGAAATACATAAAGAAGGCATTATAAAAACTATTTGGAATATTATAGCTAAAACAATTCAAATATTGTACTGTAATTAGGATAGTAATATAATAAACCCTTTTACATACCTCCACTACTGGAAAAAATGAAAACTTTTTGTCTTTTAGTCACTATATTATTTTTATAAAGTCTTTGAATACGGCCCAACAGAAAAAAAGGGTAAGGAAACGATTATAGCTAGCTGATTGGTTGAATTAAATGTAGCGCGTTACAGTCGAAATTCTGTGAACGAAGCTTAAGCCCTTACTAGCTCCATCTCTCTCGCACACGTCTGAGCGATTGCCGTTTATATGGGTAAAATGACAGTTGGGCGAGTCCAGTAGTTTATAAGGTCTAAGGTTGTCACTGACAGCATCTGTTAGTCTACGAAATGATGACTGTATGATGTCTATTTGGGTATCTTCATCGATATTCTCGGGCTGCTTGTTCCCATCGGAATACCCATATACAAAGACAATATCTGCATACTCTTCAGTTGTAAATAATTGTATTTTTTATTTAGCACTTTAACACTAAGTGTCAAATGAATAAACAAAATCACACAAATAATAATTATTGTTATATTAACCATAATTTTTATTTATCAGGTTATTTTGATAGAAATATGAAATTATATTTTTTTAAATGCTTGTAACTTTTCAACAAAAACGAATGGGACATATGTTCATATAAGAAAAAATGTTTGAAATTAATCCAGCTACCATCTGTCAAAGTTTGTCATAGAGCTTGTAAAACACCCTGTAGAAACCTACAGAATATTGATTACGGTCATCGAAATTTAAAATTTCGATGGTTACGGTAAACAAGAAAGTCGCCACTGAAATTAATTCTTTAAAAATAGTTCTATACTGATAGGAAATATTATTTTATTTCAAGCATATTATCTGTCTAAATGATTTTTGAGAGATTTAATAAATTCGCTTCTTAAATATTGCAATTTTAAACTTCATGATAATATTTAGGTAATTTGATGAAATAAAATTTTCAATCGTTTAGAATTTTCTTTATTAAGAAGTTAAAATTAGCGTTATAATTACCGCATGCATTTTACTTTTAATTTGCACATAAAAATGAAACCTGTATAATAAAATCAAAAGATTTTGGTCAGATACTACATATACAGGGTGTTACAAAATTCGCGGACACGGACTGTGGGATCATATTAAGCTAGATAAGGTGATAAAAAAGTGTCTTAATGATTTTTCAATCAGACCAATATTTTTCAAGATATAGCAGTATCAAATATCCAAAAATATTAAAAATATATATTTATAGATTTCAATTTTCAATTCATTTTCAATTTTTCATTAAATAAACAATTACGACAAACGAGTTACAACAATTGTTCAAAATTTCCACCGTCTGCTGTTAAACATGGTGTTATTTGCTGTATTGAATGAAATAGGCGGTTCTGCAATTCATTCAAATTTGCCACCGGTGTTCTGTACACCAACGTTTTTAAGAAGCTCCAAAATAAAAAATCACATGGCGTTAGGTCTGGACAACGAGGTGGACCGCCTCTGCTAAGCCAACCGCACTGCTTCACCTGCACGATTATTTGAAACTCCGAGAGCCATCAGCATATCATACTATTCACGATTTGAATAATTGTGGCCTATTATTTTGCAGTTTGTATTGACAGGTACTTTTACTGTACTCTAACGATGTCAAAGTATTGATAAATGCTTTCTGAATTGTCATTAATTGTTATAGAGCTGTCTGTTTCAAACAATACCTACAACAAATAACGCCAGAGATGGTAGGTACGCAACTCCGTTCGAGCTGTAGCACAATGTGCTGAAGCATGTTTAGCAGCAGGTGGTGGAAATTTTGAACAATTCGTTTGTCATAATTGTTTATCAAGTGATTATTTTTGGATATTTAAAACTGCCGTATCTCGCAAAATATCGGTCTGATTGAAAAATGTTAGACATTTTTTTATGACATTATCTAGCTTAACATGATCCCATAGTCCGTGTCCGTGAATTTCGTAACACCCTGTATAATTCATTTATGATTGGACAAACTAGCAAATTTTTGGTGCGCTGCGCTGGCATAAATGATTACTTTTCACGTGGACAGCAACTGTCAAAATGAAAATAATACCTCCGAAAATATTTATAATTTTGAAATATAACTTTCTATAGAATGCAAAGTTGAGCTTGCAGCTTTCCACTTCATATAATTCGATTCAATCAACAAACGGATCTCTTATCATAATAAAATTATTATTTACTGGTATTTTATTAAATTTCAATTCTTATTAATACAGATTTGTATGCTCTCGACGACAGAATGGAAATGGGGAAGAATGTGTTCGCAGTGTTTAGCAAAACGTGAATATCCTTGCAAGGGAACGGCTGGATTCAGTCTATTCAAGGGTATTGTGCATGCGAAAAGAAAAACGATTTAAAAAGGCACTACAGCCACGCACGAGTACATACGCTAGGAAAATACACATAATAGAAAATCCTTTGGTTCGGGTTTAATGCAGATATACGTACGTACGAGCATATGCCATCCGTGTTCTCCTTCCTGCTATGTAAACTTA